AGACAGGAATCGGAGATGGCGCTCTTTATTTCTTTAAATCTCCTCAAAGGTCGTAGGTCAGTGCTGACAGTTGTCTTTGTTCTAGTCCATTACGGTCCCAGAATTATAAAACCTGAGACCCTGTCCAAGCACAGACAGCAAGAAATCCCCTTTCTGACTTGTGAATTTTGACATTCTTGTTTTGAAAGCAATGGCTGTTACAAATCCTCTCAAAACAGGGCTGTCAAAATTTTAATCCGAAGAGAGTTCGACTGTTTTTTCAACTTTGGAAACTCGTACTGGGGTGCCTCTAAATTCAATCATTGATGCCCTCCAACCAATCGCTGTGTCTTTGGAAGAGAAACAAGATACACTACTAAGCAAGCTCCCTCAGACTTCAACTTCTGATGACAACAAACTACTAACGGCAAAGCAGAGGGAATGAGCTTTAAGAAGGGATGCAGTCAGTTAAAGCTTTACCGTCACAAGCTGATATTAAATGCCAATACTTCTAAGCATATTAACACATCTTGTGAAAGAAAAGGTAGAAAATTCTATAAATTAACATTTGATAATAGTGACTGGATTAGCACTCCCCTACTAATGGAAAGAGATGACAGGGATTTATTCATTTCAAAATGAATAAATCATAACAATCTACTTAAAATCCCTCACAAAAATGATCCTACAGTGATTGTGGGAATTCAAATTTTGCTGAAATATCATGTAAACTACAAGGTTGGGGCATTACACAAATCTTCCCACTTGAGGCTTCAGATAAAGGCCATTACCATAAAATTTCTAGTTAGAACGGATTTAGTTTTTGTTGGACGTTCGTTTTTTATTCCTTTCATACCCTATCTGTGTGATCTTCGTCTAATGCATTTTTTGATCCACTCTTCCTTACAAACTGACAACTTCATTCATCAAAGCAGTTCAGTTTTTGTATTTTCCTGATAAGCTAATCTTGCCAAAAGCTGTTATATTCTTTCTAGCTATAAATATTTACTCAAGATCTTTACAGAGTTTTTTGCCTGATTGTTTCAGATCTACTAGTGAAGAGGAGTATATCTTAATGGGTAGGATTCAACTTTGTAAATATTTCACCAGTTCATGACCCAAGTAAACATTAGCAGCATTTACAGTGCAAGCAAAAATCTTTGATTTTTCTCACATTCCGGTGTTGTTAGAAGTTGCTAACTTATTACCGGTGAACACAACCAAAATCCAACCAAAATCCAACCAAAATCCTACCTCTGTTCTGTTTTTTTAATTTAAAAAAAAAAGTTTTTTTAAAAGAAAAATGCAACTTACAAATCACCTCAATCCAAATCAATTAAGAGAATGTCTTAAAGGTAAATCTATTGTATTCTTACAAGACAATAAGACTAATTTCTCTAAATGTTCTCACTCTTTTATATTTGATAGATGCAGGGGAGTGCTTTGAGATTAGAAGTATATGACAATCATCATTTTCTGTAATAATGTTAGAAAGGTTATAAATTTAAAAAAAATAAATAAAGAATAATAAACATACTGTAGTTATATGTATCCCCAGCAGCAGTGTCAACAAGAAAAATCATGCAGAAGTTTTATTACCTTAATAGTACAATTTTTGTGTTCCAAAAGGTTGATCAAACTTGTTTATTGCTATTGCTAATGGATTTCATTTCAATGTTCAAATGTTAGCACTTAATTTTTTTTTCTTCTCTATTTTGAAGGTACCACATGTTGGATACCATTTAAGACAAGAGTTAAAGACAGGAACAATTCTCTTTCATTACAAAAGGCACAAAACCCTTCTGGTCAATACACATGCAAATTAACTAAATTACCCAGATAACATCATTATCAAAGTGATTATCACCCTCATTGTGGTACGCATAGCCCTTGTGCAAACCAATCTATTTCATACCCAAATCACAAAAACATCGTTAATAAGATATCTCCATGGCAACTATCACCAATAGAGGTAGAAAATCAAATTTGTACAAAGGTGTCTAAAAACTTCTTAAATCCAACTGAGCTAATCTCTGTCTGTTAATTTTGTTCTTTCCTTCATTTTTGTTTTTAACCTATCTCTTTCTTATCTCCCTATATCTCATATTCTCAATTCTTTTCCTCAATAATCATGTCTTTGTTTGTATCTGATGGATTTCATATAACATGTAGCAATAACAAATATCATATTAAGGAGTAGTTTTGTACTCAATGCTGTTCCCAACCGATTCATGAAACGATTACAAAAAATAGGGCTGAATTTGAACCAAAAGTCTGTACGAGGAGACTATCCTACAGTCCAGATAATAAAACTAGACAACTGGATGCATTTGATTATCTCAGACCCATCTTGATTAAACACCTGCTTAATTAATTTGGGGAGTGGATGGATGAAAGAGTTTAATTGATAACATCAGATAGAATGTCATGTAACTCATGTAAAACATCCCTGGTGACATCTGCAATATAGTGTTGTTCTCCCCAAGACGTGTGATCCTTATCATGGGGCTCTATTTTTATCTAATTTCGTCTGGGCTCTGAAAGCAAAATAATAACAATCTGTAAAACTCCATACCAATTAAAGGAACTAATTAGGAGTTAAATGGAGGGTTCAAGTTGGTTATCAGACATATGCTCTTGTCATATTGGCTCTTCAGTCATTTTATATCGCTCACAGGGTGTGTTATCTATGGTCGACGAAGAGTCACTCTCCTTCATAGAGAAAAGCTTTCATGCTATGTGCTGATGCTAGAATTGAGGTATTTATTGACAGCATAGTTTTGATATGGAAATCAAGGCTGTGCAATATTTCATTCTTACAATAGAAGGCCATGTTATTGTCTATCTCAAATTGTGATAATATCAGAGTAGTTTGTTTGACTGAAGTATAGTGTGAAAGTTTAGTTTGTTTCATTTCTTTCTGGAGTCAACTGAAATAGCTTCTGTAAATGGTATATGGACTGACAAAAATCCACGACTATCTAGATTCAATGTAGTTACAATAATCTAGAGAAGGTACTCTGAAAGATATTCAAAGTCAATTACTCAGAAAAGACAGTGGAGATTACTCATGCAGTTTTCCACAAAGTTTTATCTCCTAGATACCCAAGTAACATACCTGCGCAATTCATCACATTCTCACATAGAATCGAGATAAGAATTGTAAGTATCACTTTCTCTCTACCAATCGATAATAGGACTGGTCACACCCATTTTTCTTGGCAGTTGAATGTTAAGTATCACTCCAACCTATCAAGTGCTCTGGAAGATTTCAAAAACCCAAAAGCTGGGAAAATATTTGCAGGATTATGTAAGGCATTTATCTTACCTTCCACAACAAAGGATGCTGGGCTACCTCATCAAGAGGGGGCGACAATTAGTGGAAAAGCGTCAAAACTATGTCGGCCCACGTTTCCAAGACAATGGCCCAGAATAAGCACTTCACTCCTGGTAGATACACTCGAAAGCAACACATGTATGACGAGTGTTTGTACGCTGAGTTGGGTCAGTGTTTGAACAGGGTATCAGGCAGTATGATAATGAAGAAGAAGATAAATTCCTGACTCACAAGCATACATGATGTATGTTTTGGGGTCCTAAACCTGTCCTTGGTCTCCCCACAAATAACTTGATAGAAATGCGAGGAAAATAGTTTTTTCAATTTGGGGTTTGCTTGGATTAAACCAGGTCTAAAAGTGGACTCAATTTGTAGACCTTGGTCAGAATCTATTCATGTTCTATCTCTATGAATGTCTCTGTCTGGACAAATATCACATGCTCTTAAACTGACCACTGTTTTTGTTCAGCCTTCAGGGTCTTAAAAAAATCTAACACATACCTCATCCCTTTCATTGCGGTAACCCTATTGCTACCACAAACCTCAAAATCCATAATTGACCACATGCATTTCTTGCAAAGGTATTCATAAGTGAAATATCTCATTAATGATGTCATAATATAATCTTTAAAAGTTAGAAGACTTTATAAGGATGTGGCTACATCACATAATTTCAACATTAGCACTGCATACATATGGAGAATGACCTTGTTATCTGTTATAACATTATCTGACCATTACAACAGTTCAGGTTTGATGAACAACCGGTATGATAAAACAACAAACATTTTTGGATTAGGCGATACTTTTGGAGAGAACAAGTATGTAATTGGAATATGCAAGTGGGGGAAATAAGCTAGATTATTTTTTGTTGTTGTGGGTCTCATCTGCCTTTTATTGCTTTTTTTACCATTACATTACATAGTTCTATACCTCTGAAGTTTCAAAACAGAGAGCTACAAGATGCACTAAACCTCACTCTGATTACATCCAATATAATAGAGGTCACATTGAACAGGACTTGTAAGACCCATGGACCCTGAAGTCACCTCCACCGACCAATAAAATAGCACAGTTCTATGAAATAGTTGACTAATGTTTACCAGCCTGATGAGTCACCTAATCAACCAAGATTAGAGTCCAAGCATGGGAGGATAGGCTATCATTAGATAAACCTCTGAGGTGATACCCAGCAAACACAAAGGCAGATAAATAATACCAATCTAACAATTCAAAAGGCAGCTTGCTAGGTTCATTGTTAGAGCAATTGTGGTAAGGTCCATCCATGGTTGGAGCAAGTAGGGCACTTTATAGAAAGAGACAGAGAGAGGGAGACAGACAGCTAAGAGTCAGTGAAGACTAAAGAAGATTAAAACGAAGATTAACTCCTCTGCTATTTCAGACAAAAGAGATGAAGGAAAAACAGAGAAAGATTTGATAGGGAAAATATGCGAGGACGAATTGGACTTTCAGGTTCAATGAAGATATTGAAAGAAATAGTTAAGACATGCCATATGAAATGTAAAACATTCAAAAAAAGATTATGATGATGATGAATGGAAACAATTATAAAGATGATAATCATTGATTGTGAAAGAGGCACTGACTGTGATGAGGAACTATTTTGAACTAATCAAAGATGAAAAAAAAGAAAGAAGCTAAATAACACACAGAATTGACTTACCTCAATAACTCAACACTAATGGGCAAAGAGATCCACCCATTACCAATCAATAGGCATCCATAGTATCATCACATAAAGAAGACCTGTTAGCAAGAAAAATGTAAAACAATGGAATATAACTAATATTTGTATAGATACAAAAACATTATTGTGAATAAAACTGGAATCACAGCAAGTTCAACTAACTTCCAGTCATCAGACTTTACAAGTTGAACAAACATCTACAAGTATCAATGAAAAGAATGTATACAGCCCAAGAGACCAACTAACAGCCCATGCCTCCAACAATCCAAAGGACCGTTAAAGTCAGTCTAGCAAACCTGATGAAAAGTCGTCAGAAGGCTTGCGATACCGACAGCCCACGATCCAGAGGGCCCACAAGACCGGCAGCCAATGAGACTGATGTTTTGGACCCATGAGCCTTGCTGAGGGTTCATCAGACCTACATTGCAAGTCTCATGGGCTGTCGGTCTACTGGCCTAGTAGTATTACCAATTACTCTAGGAAATTAAATGAATAATTTATCAAAGTACAAAAACCTTAACCATAATCCCTGACAGTTTATATTTTGAGTAAATCATAATTGATATCACCAGATCATGAGATTGGCAAGCACAAAATGACAAGAACTTCAAAGTTCAATCCAGTTTTGAAATTGCAGCAAATATTTGTAGATTGAACATTATTATGTTATACGACAATGCCATATACATCTATGAGTCAGCAAGTCAAACTGTACCAGGGACGTTGGAATGCTTGCCGTCTCTCTCTTTAGAGAGATCATTATCAATTAGAGACTGGTGTTGAGCCTATCACCTCTAATTTAATCATGGATACATCATGTATGCTAACATATTTGATTTCATTTAATATCACATACGAGTTGATATATATAACTGAATTAATTTACTCCAATCAGAGATACTATCCTATGCGGATACTCTAATGTTACAGCCTTATTTAAACAATAATGTTTAATGAAATCGTTTATCTAAATTCAGAAAGCTTTCAAACATTTTAAACTCCAAATAATAGATTGAATTGTTTTGAGATCTGAACAGCTTTCTTACATTTCTTTGTATCTTCATTTTCAAATAAATGTTGAATTCTGATGTGATTGAGAGATGGTTTTCAGTATATATCCTTATAATCCACAAATAAAACCAATGAATACAAAGGTTGGTCTGGATTCTTTGGAAAAATGCATGTTTTACTAAACTTAAATCATACCATAACAATGCATGATCACTTATCTATATAAAACTCAATAGCCTAATAATTTCTCGTCAATTGCTTTCTTTTAATTTTGTTTAAAATCCTATAATTATCATCAATTTTGTACCCTAAAAAGGCTCAACCTCCCACAAACTTTCATTATCCACTAATTCAACTGTTTATCTGTACTTTAGCTATAAAATAACACAACTTTTACCGAAATGACTCTAAGCATGAAGGAAGGCACCAGTGAAATTGACACTAACAAGTACAAAGTGCTGTTTATGGACGCTCAAGAAAAACATGAATGGTGATCAACGACCAGGGTCCTCTCCCTTGGAAGACATGTCCGACCTGTAAATGTGTCATCACGGCCATCTAAAAGCTTTCTCCTTATCACTGTAATGGCTGTGCTAGCAGTGGCACCATCATCAGCATCATCATCATGAACAACAAGAAGATACCATGATGGAACTGTTTATCAAGGGGGTATCTTCAATGTTTTGATGATCTCTTTTAAGATGATGTAGAGTTTGTTGTAGATGTTTGTGGGTTAATTGTGTTGATATTTCTCCTTGGGTGTCTGGTGGTCCCATAAATATATTTTATCTTCTCAACAATGAAAAAAGAGTGATGCATTCTGATATCACCAACCTTGGAATCTGGTGAGTGCACCTAAACTAAAGGCACACAGGAGTATATATATATGAAGTGATAAAGGCCGCAGAGTAACTAGCTAAAATATTGATAACAAAGAGAAGATGGCAGTGCTGTCACTTTTGATAGCTTGATATGATAACTGTATCACAGAATAACCTTTAAATTAAACAAATCACGGCCACAACCAAGAATTGACAAGTTTTCATCCTGTGCAAATACAAAGTTCTTGGGAAGTTAGAACCTGTCTGACTAGAACAAGGTCTGTCTTACATTCACATGACTCTACTACAAAGTAGTAGAGCCCTTATATGTCAAGGCCTCCATGTATAGATAATATTTCCATGTTATTTGGTCAAATAGATAAAACTTGATTTTTATTTATTTACAGTTGTGCATTATGCTGGTTCATTAAACTTTGATTATAGAGAATCAATGAATAAAACCATCATTCAATACATTCCCTTTCCGTTATACTGCGGCTGAACATCCCTTTGCCAAGATGGGAATTGTCCTTTGCGTAAACTTCTTGCTTCCTGAGTATTTGAACAAGTCTATCAAAACATACATTAGGATTATTGACCCATTGTTGAGAGTGTGAATGTCATCAAACAAATTCTCCCTTTCACCAGACATGATCTCCACTCCCTTCAAATAACTGCCAACACTGTGTAAAGATAAATAAAAGTTATATAGACCAGTCGTTATCATCAAGATCAGACATAGACATTGTCATGTATGATATTCCATACACTTCTCTGGATATTATTACTGTAATAGTATTAAGGAAGATCATAATATTTCAATTATAATAATAATTGTTTACTTCTTCTGGCACCAATATCATGAGATTATAAGGTTTTCCTATATGGCAGCATAGGCATATATCTAGTTTTAGAAAGATAGTTCCAGACATAAAAGATTTACCTGTTTGTTCTAAATTAAGCACAATATAGCACAAGGAAACAAGGAAATAAAAACGATATGCACATTCTCTCTCAGAATTTCAACAGATCTTTTTTTAAACACAACATCTGAACTGAGTACATAAGACATATATATGCAGTGTAGGATTAATTTGTCATGTACATGTAGTTCCAAATGACCATTTGTCTTTTTTGAAAAGTGCTATAAATAACTTCCAGGGCAAAGGGCTTATAACAGAATATCTTATCACCCGAAACTCATAGTTTTCACCTCTGTATTCATGTTTGAAGGACTTCACCAATGTGATTGTTACAAAATTGACAAGAAGTGCTTTTGAAAACCATGCACAGCCATGAACCTGACCAACACCACCAATCAATAGGGGTTTTCGTTTGTCACGTCGACATAGTCGACGTCAAATATGCGACGTCATGTCGGCGATCTGCGCATGCGTCGGGTCGTCTGGCGTCGTCAGGCCACATTTGCGAACCCGTTCATCGATGATTTGAGGTTCGTCAGAAAACTAGTGACCCGTCGTCAGAATGACGTCATCTTGCTACATCGCAGCGTAAATCAGAAAGTAAAAACAGAAAGAGAAAGTGATAGAATGATTAAAAAAGCAAAGAATAACATAAGAAATGGTGATAGAAGGAAGAAACAAAGAATAACATAAGGAAAGACAGAAAGTGAAAGTGATAGAATGATAAAAACAAAGAATAACATAAGAGAAGATGAAAGAAGGAAGAAACGAAGAATAACATAAGGAAAGACAGAAAGAGAAGGTGAAAGAAGGGAAAAAACAAAGACTAACATAAGGAAAGACTGAAGAGAAAGTGAAAGAAGGAAAAAACAAAGAATAACATAAGGAAAGACAGAAAGAGAAGGTGAAAGAAGGAAAAAACAAAGAATAACATAAGGAAAGACAGAAAGAGAAGGTGAAGAAGGAAAAAAACAAAGAATAACATAAGGAAATACAAAAGGAGAAAGTGATAGAATGATAAAAACAAGGAATAACATAAGAGAAGATGATAGAAAGAAGAAACAAAAAATAGTATGAGGAAAGATAGAAAGAACAACTACAATAACATTAAAGACAGAAAGAGAAAATGATAAAGAATAGACAATGGAAAGATAGAAGAGAAGAAGAAAGAAGGAAAAACGAAGAATAACATAAGGAAAATAGAGAGAGTATAATAGAATAATAAACGAAGAACAAAATAAGAAGTGAAAGAAGGAGAAATTGATTAAGCGTGCGGGGGCCATTACGTCATCGTGTAGAGAATGGGTGTCGACTTAAAACGAAAAGGGTTATATGGTAGTGAACAGGACGGGTGTCTGACGCCAATTGGCATCGTTAGAGGACGTGAACGCCGTCCTCGTCCACACAAACGAAAAGCCCCTAATGAAAGAAAGAATGAGCGAAAGAAAGAAAGTAGCAATGAACTTTCGCTTCCAGGAAAGCACTGCAAGAAGACACATTTCAACCTGCAGCATGGCATCCTGTAAAAACCTATAAAGACCCCCAACCCAAACACCCTATATCCTGAGTCTCTAATCCCAAACAAACACCAACATTTACATCACATTCCTGCGCGATGAGACCAGACTATCTCTTTTATCCCTGTCTGGATAAGGCTCGCACAATGGCAACTTTGTCCATCCTTCGCACTTCCTAATAAACGATCGAGAAGCAGTCTTGCACTTTTGTGGATACTCAATTTCTGTCAGTTTGGCCAGAGTTGCGGAAGGTGATGACAAACAATATGGTTGCTCCAGGAGAAAGAAAAATACTTTTTTGGAGGGGAAAGCTGTTGGCGCTGTTTCAGGATACGATACACATTTTTGCTTTAAAGTGCTGAGAGAATACATATTCACTTTATTCTGCCCCCTTCTCCCCCTCCCCTTCCTTCTCTCTCTCTCTCTCTCTCTCTCTTCCAATTCAATTTAATGACGACCGACCGCAAATGCCTACCAGGGGAATATTTATTTAAAGACAAAGTCATCATTGTAATTCACCAATTTTGAGAGAGCTTAAAGACTCCAATAAATTATGTTCTTGCAAAATTATTACATCTTGAGTTCAAATTTAAAAAAAAAAAATTTCTTAAAGTTATGTACAAGTGTGAACTGGCCTACTGTTGAATATGAAGCAGGCATTCGTTGCTAAGGAGATACAGATGGAAAAGATGGCACCTATAACATTGAACCGTCAAATCCCACCATCTTGATAGAGCTGTTTACATCTCTACTTCCACAAGACATTAGCGTAGAGAAAATACACCTT